TGAGTCTCAGAACCTGGCCACTGAGTGCAAACCATGTCCCCAGGGGAAAAACAAGAGCAGCAGCTAGCCCCCTGCAGTCCCCACAGCTCTTGCCAAGTCACATGCCACACCCCCATGTTTCTGCTATTTACAGGCCTCCTCCAAACTTCTGTGAAGTGTTGGATAAGCAGGTTATCTGCCTGCCCCACAGAGGTATCCCCCAGCAGAAGACACCAAACCCACATGGAATCACCAAATACGCACACCCCTGGTCCCTCCCTACCACTGGTTAATAACGGTTTTACAACATGTCTAATCTTCAATTTTATGATCTCTGAGGGAATCTGGCCACTGCCATTTTGAGGTGATCAGAGATCACATTAATCACACGTACACGCACGCATACACACACACACACACACACACACACACGTTATACTTGTGTACCTGCTAGACATGTGTAATCATGGGTTGATTAGGCCCAGTTACCATAGCTGCAATCCATAACTCCCATTGCCTTACAAGTTCCCTATGTGTTCTCAAGCCTTGTCCTTCACAAGTAACCACAACTCCTTTACCAACCTTCCCCTCCCTTATGCTTACAGCCCTTAAATCCCTATAGCCTGCACAATAGCAGCTGGCCCGGTCTCCAGTGCCAGAGCAGTCCCACTCTGGGACTATCTGTCCTGGAATAAGCCTGTCCTCTGAGCTTATACCTCTGTTTATTTTCCTTATTGCCCTAGATATGCGTTTAATCAATTGCTATCTTCCTTGAAAAGAAAAACTCCTATAATTTTCACTGAAATTAAACCATACTTATAATTAGTAGGAAAATGAGGATTTCATACTGCCTTTCCCATCTAAGAATACAGTGTGTCTTCCTATTCACTAAAGGCTTCTAAATCTTGTAATATGACCTAGTATTATCTTATTAATTTTTATTTCATTTTACTTTTTATGTATTTAGCACAGGGTCTACAGGGTCTCACTACACAGATCAGACTTCCAGTGATTCTCCTGTTTTTAGCCTCCCAAGAGCTGGGATTACAGGTATGCACCACCACGCCCAGTACACCCCAGGGTGGGGCTGGCACAACATGCCAGGGATCAAATCCTGGTCCATGCATCTGCCTACACAGGTGCTTCAGTTGGCTGAATCTGGCTGGCCCTTATCTTATTAATTTATTTACTTGAAAGAAAAAATTGAGCAGTTGCTGTAAGTGAAGCACCATGCTCAACATCACAATAGTGGGCCATGAATTTGGCCATAAATTTGCCATGGGTACCTGTACTAAGCAGCAACAGACTAAATCAGTGTCCAATATAATTAGATTGACTAAACTTGTCTACTTGCAGACAACCCTGTGGTCAATTCACTAATAATTAGGCCACAACCAAATAAATAGGTCATGGTTGGTTGACTAAGATGTAGCCAATTGGGTTGTTTCTGTGCCTCACCTCTTAGTTCCTATAAATGCTGTCAGATTACATTATTAGTTGGGAGTATGTAGAACCTGCTGTGGTCCTGAGAGCTATGTGACTTTCAAAACCCAGCCCCCTTCCAATGGGGGACTAGTTCTGGGGCCTCATACATGCTAGGCAAGGGCTCTATGAGTCAGTTACACCTCCAGCCTTCAATTTCTTTTTTTTTTTTTTTT